ATTTTTGTATTTTTAGTAGAGACGGGGTTTCACCATGTTGACCAGGATGGTCTCGATCTCTTGACCTCGTGATCCACCCGCCTCGGCCTCCCAAAGTGCTGGGATTACAAGCGTGAGCCACCGTGCCCGGCCAACTTCCCAGTTTTTAAGGGCAAGCCCCGTGTGTTCTCTCGGGTTTGTCAACGTAATGCTTAATTTCTCCCACTCTTGCCCTCATTACTCTTGTTTTTTTTTTTTTGTTTTTTTGCACAAAGGGGCCATTTCTTGCATGAACAATGAATGACTTGTTTCCATTCCACACAGGCACCAATCGGGCAGAATGCCTGAACCCCATTCAGCCCAGCAGACGCAGGGTTCTCGAAGGGCTCCACTATCCTTTCGCTGTGACAAGCTTCGGGAAGAATCTGTATTACACAGACTGGAAGATGTACGTGGGCTACAGCTATGGGGGTTGCATGGGCCTGCCCCTCCACCTACTGTCTCTGGGAGGCCAGGCCCTTCCCATCTGCCCTCTTGGTTGAGCCTTCAGAAATGTCCCCTCTAGAGATTTCTCCTCTCCCTCATTCTTCTTGTTGTCAGGAGGCAAGAGAGGGACTGAAGAAGGAGGGAGGACAAGGCCCTAAGGGACAGGAGGTGTCATTTGTCACCCAGATGCTCCTGACTGTGCCGTTTCAAGTCTTTAAACATGGACTTCCTCAACACGTTGGTTCTTTCCCCAGGAGCTGGCCCGGGGTTGTGTGGCCAGTGGGCTTCCTGTCCACTTTATGTCCCTGCTTCATTATAGTTGTTAAACTGCAATATTCCCACAGCCTCTTCTTGACCACCCCTCCTGCAAAAGAAGGGATTAAACTAAGAAGACAACTGGCCAGGGGCATCTGTCTAGAAAACTCATTTCCTGCCTGGGATTTAGAGTGGGAGGGGAGAGCTAGCTGGTCTTTATCTTCTTGTAAAAAGCCAGAAAAATGCAGGCTTGACCCACCCCAGGAGAAGGAAGGGATATCTAGGAAGCAACGCCATCGTGTCTGCTTATGGCCTCCAGTTTATCCTCGTAATGACAAAAGAGACTGCCCTGTAGATATGAGTTCAGGCCATCAGATGTGTTTTCACCTTCTGCCCTTTGGTGCTTTGTAGGAATTCCGTGGTTGCTCTTGATCTTGCAATTTCCAAGGAGATGGATGCTTTCCATCCCCACAAGCAGACCCGGCTGTATGGCATCACCACGGCCCTGTCCCAGTGTCCCCAAGGTAACTCTCCTGTGCTGTTTTACTGCTGGGGTACTGGGCGCACCTGGAGGCTCAGAACCCACACTCTGGCTGCTATGCGGATGGCCACTAGTAGCCTCGATTATGCTGACAGAGAGATGCAGTCCTTTGCATCCAGACTCTTCATCAGCAGGTGAACCAGTTAAATAAACAGAAAATATTAGGTCACAAAGTTGTCAGGATGAGGAAAAGTATTGAGTTTCGGGCTGGATATAAAAGTATAGGGTCTTTGGGTTCTAATAGTCAGATGAGGATATTACAATGTTGGGATAAAAGTCCATCCATCTGGCCTAACAGCAATAACAATAATTAATAATAATTGTTGCAAACATATGTGTGGCACTTACTGTGAGCTAAGAATTTCACATATATCAACCCACTTAGAGTTCTAAATGCTTTGTATTCATTAGTTCATGTAATCCTCATAGCAACCCTACGAGGTGGGTACTGTCATTATGTTCACTGCACAAATAAGGAAACTGAAGCGACTTGCTCCAAGTCACACAGCTCACAGGGCAAGTCCAGGCAGCCTGGCCCTGGAGTCTGTGCCATGCTGCCTCTTGAAGACCCTTCCCATCACCCACTTTCTTTCTCAGCTTCCCTCCTCTTTTCCTGTCTGTGTGAAGCTGGGAGTGCAAGCTACATAGACAGAACTGTGTACTTTAAAATTCCAACTCCATGTTATAGTCAGAGCTGAAGAGCTCCCCTGAGATCTGTTTAATAGCCTTACTAGAAAATCTGAATAGCCCCCAAGTTGGGAATCTGTGTTTTTATCTGTCTGGTTTAATGCTGAGGAAACAGACAATGGATCAGCTCAGCTGACTGTCTAGCACAGTGGCCCATTCTCCTGAAGCCCTTCCTAGTGTGGCTTCATGGAAACTAAAAAGGGGGTCACACACAATAAGAAGGCCACTCTCTTAAATGGCGATGGAGTCAGGTCAGAGAGAGGGCTATTAAACTGATTTCTGCCTTTTCCAGGCCATAACTACTGCTCAGTGAACAATGGCGGCTGCACCCACCTCTGCTTGGCCACACCAGGGAGTAGGACGTGCCGTTGCCCCGACAACACCCTGGGAGTTGACTGTATCGAGCGGAAATGAAGACAAGAGTGCCTTATTTCCTTTCCGAATATTTCACAGCGACACGCTACTTGAAGCAACTTGGTCCAGATTGAAAAGTGTCCTTTGGCTGAGTGGCCACTAGGCCCAGACCCAGCCTAGCCTGAGCCCCAACAACTTTTCCCTCACTGTTCCCCAAAACATGCACCCTGGGATTCTCTAATGGAAAAGTCTCTACCCCTATGCAAGGACAGAACCCTCCACCCTTACCCCAACCCTCAGAAAGACTTATACACCACTGAGTGAGGATTATATGCCCATCCCAATGTCCTAGGACCTTTTCCCAATCCTAGCCCCCTAGTGGTGAGCAGAACCTCCCAAGTTTGAGTTGTATCCTTCCCTGTGGCCTTATGAGCTCAGTCTTACTTTGAGGCACCCACCATCCTGTCAGCTCTTTGACATAAGAGCCAAGGCTTGACTAGGAAAGGTTGGGAGTTGAGGGAATTAGCATTCCTTAATTTTTTGTTTTGGTTTCTCTGAATTTCCTCTTTATACTCCTGTAGTTTTACTCCTCAGTTCCTCTCAATCGTCATCTTGTCTAAGACTCCCATTATAATGTGCATGCTCTGCTTTTTGATCAAAACCTACCCTGTCCTAGAGATATATGGGTATTTGGTGGATGATAATGAGCAGCCCCTCCCAGATAGAATGCCAATATTTGAGAGTAGGATATTGGCATTTGTTAAAGGATTAAGTCAAAAGAATGTCTGATGGTAGGAATTTCAAGGTGTAGGTCAGCTATTTCAGAATAGGGGATTGTTTTGATGTGCCTTAAATTATATAAAAGAGTGCTAATTATTCCTCTTTGCCCAAAATACTTGCATCCAAGCTTCTACTCTCTGTTGCTGTGCTTGTCTTCAGCCCCATTGCTGGCACCAATGTCCCTCCTTTTCATGGAGACCTATCTGAGGCACAGGATGGGGCTGGCACCAGATGATGTCCCACCACAGACCCTCACCTCTGGCCTCCACATTAGAGAACCAATTTACACTCAACCATGACCTCATCCCTCCTTGGTTTCTCCCTGAATCTGTGGCTCTTGTTGGACGTATTGTCATCTAACAACACAATCCAGAAAGACTGAATTGAATATTTATACTGATGGTCCTTAACCTTTATTACTCAATGATCTAATTAAAGAGATCATTGCCACATTTCATGTTTATATTTCTACAATCTGTTTAGAAAACATCTCCTGACCATATCCGTAAGTGGTGTCACCTTTTTATCAACTGCTTCCCAGAGTCCTAAAACAACAGACATTTTTTTATTGAAAAGTTCAGCATAAGGACTTTGAGTCAGTAAAGAATGGGCTAAAGGAGAGAAGATTCAATGAAAAGTATCATAAAAAAGAGATTGATCAAGAAGAGAAATTTTAAAACCCAAGAGAAACTGGTAGGGGAGGGGATTTAAGAATAGCAATCGGAAAAACTCTTAAGTCACTCCAAAAAGAAAATGGTATATTTTGCCAAAGACCACCTTATACTTGAGAACATGGAAAAACTTGCCTGATACTGTCTTTGGGGAAGAGAGTGTCTCCTCTTTTCCTCAAACCCCAGTTGACTCAGCCTCTCTGCCCCATCTTCTCTGACTTTGTCCTCACTTCCTTCTGCAGTACATTGGAACCTGAATTGAGAGTCTTTCCTTTAATAATTGAAGTTTGTCTTGAGAGGCAAATATAGCCCCAAGAATCACAAGATTTTAGGACCATGTAGGTCTTTTACATAGCCAAACTCCATAAATTAGTCTCACTTTCTTTCGTATTCATCGTTTCATATTAAACCCTCTATATCAAATGTTCATCATGATTTTATATGATTTTTATAACTATTTTATTCATTTTATTAGATTTATTCTACAATTTTTTAATGGTAAATTCTTAAACTGTGGAAACCATTGAAGGTGCTTATTAATTGTTCCCCCAGATTTGTATAAGTATTGGATGATTCCTTGAGTTTACAGCTGTACAAATATTAGTGTGGAAAATAAATTTTTTTTTTGTTAAAAAGAAAATCTTCCTCTGTCTTTTTTGAATAAAGAGATTTAATGTTGGGTGTAAGGCCGGCTGCCTCGCTGGGAGGCTGGACACAACCACCCCTGCACTCAGCACCTGACTCTGCGCCCAGCACCTGGCTCTGTGCTTGGCACCTAGCTCTGCCGCATGGCTCCCCTGGAAGGCTCTGGCTGATGCAACCCTGGCCAGCTCTTGTACTAGAAAAACCCGCCCAACAACCTGCCAACCAATAGTGGCCTGCCCTGTACCAATCCCGCTACCCTGGAGCCAATCAGAGCTCAGCTTGTTACCCATAGCCACAAAAACCCCATGTCCCAGGAATTCAGCGAGACTTCTCTGGCCCCCTTTCCCCAGATCATAGATCCTTGCCCGGGAGCTGAATGAACTGGCATTTAATTTTTTTATACTGGCCTCAGTTTCTTCATTTTTAACTCGGCAATAACCCTTACATTGGGAAGCTCATTCGTGATAGAAAGACAGCCGCTTAATAATCTGCAAAACCTGTGGAACCCAGAAACTCTTCCCCCAGTATTATGAGAGCTGGTATGTTGCTCAACCACAAAAAAACTTACGGGTTGTAATTTACTGAAAAATGAGTAGGCTGGGTGCAGTGGCTCATGCCTGTAATCTCAACACTTGGGGAATATAGTGAGACCCCATCTCTACAAAAAACTTTAAAAAATTAGCCGGGTGTGGTGGCATGTTCCTGTAGTCTCAGCTACTCGAGAGACTGAGGCAGGAGGATCGCTTGAGCCCAGGAGTTTGAGGTTACAGTGAGGTATGATCATGCTGCTGCACTCCAGCCTGGGCCACAGAGCAAGACCTTGTCAAATAAATAAATAAATAAATAAGCTGTTTTAAAAAATCACTGTTATTCATCAAAAACAAAAACCCCTGGTTACCTAAGGTTGGCAAAATGCCAATTGTTGTGGCTGGTTGAATTCTAAAGATTTTAAGATTCTGATTTAGTACTGCTGTGAAGGGACTTTGCCAATAGAATTTAGATGACTAAGTAGCTGACGTTAAAATAGGGAAATTATCCTGGGTTATATACAGGCAGGCCCTTAAAAACAGAGGAGGAGGCCATGCACGGTGGCTCACGCCTGTAGTCCCAGCACTTTGGAGGCTGAGACGGGTGGATCACCTGACGTTGGGAGTTCAAGACCAGCCTGACCAATGGGGAGAAACCCTGTCTCTACTAAAAATAAAAAAAATTAGCCAGGCGTAGTGGCACTTCCCTGTAATCCCAGCTACTCAGGAGGCTGAGGCAGGAGAATTGCTTAAACCTGGGAGGCGGAGGTTGCGGTGAGCCGAGATCATGCCATTGCACTCCAGCATAGGCAACAAGAGTGAAATTCTGTCTCAAGAAAATAAAAATAAATAAATAAATAAATAAATAAAACAGAGGAGGAAGGCAGACGAGTCAGAGAGATAAGGCAGAAGTAGAAAGCAGGTGAGGAGAGGGTGAATGGGGCAAAGGACTCTTTACACTTCCCCTTTAGACTGAACTTAAAATACGTAAGGGTAGCTTTAGGCTAAACTTGTTTTTTTTTTTTTTTTTAATGGAGTCTCCCTCTGTAGCCCAGGCTGGACTGCAGTGGAGTGATCTCAGCTCACTGCAACCTCCGCCTCCCAAGTCCTGGTTCAAGCCATTCTGCCTCAGCCTCCCAAGTAGCTGGGAGCACAGGCACGCGCCACCAGACCCAGCTAATTTTTGTATTTTTAGTAGAGACGGGGTTTCGCCATCATGGCCAGGCTGGTCTTGAACTTCTGACCAAAAGTGATCCACCTGCCTCGGCCTCCCAAGTGCTGGGATTACAGGCGTGAGCCACAACACCCAGCCGCTAAACTTGATTTTTAACAGGGAAAACATAGCTTTGCAACAATTCTTTTAGGGAGTGTTCTACCGAGCACATTTGAAGACCACAGGTCTGGAAAGAGGCGAAGACGGGGCCCAGAGCCCTCCCCAGCAGTGTCCCTGCCCAGCTCTGATTCTCAAGTCGGGCTGCTGTTTTTCCCTTTCTTCTCTTCGGCCAGGATGTCAGGAGCTGCTGAAAGCTGCAGCCGGAAGAATTTAGAATTCCTTACAACGGAGAAAATGTCTTTGCTCAGACGGCATGGACTTAAGAGATGGAAAAGCCAAAAAGCCTTGAGAAACAGGCTAAGAGTGGCTTCCTGCTTGCCAGAAGCTTACGTGGGAACAGCGGAGCTTAAATGACAGCCTGCCTGAGTGCTCTCCAGCCCCATGATTCCGTTTAAATCTGGGCGGGTCTTCTCATAGGCAGTTCCAGAGGCGGCCACGCGAGGGCAGTAAGAGCCTCTCAATGCCTGTTTTTGGGGATAGGGAGAAGTGGGGGCAGGGGGGCGTGTCCCACGCCTGGCTACCCAGATAACTTCCCCAAAAGAAGCCATGCTCAGGCCTTCCCAACGTCTCACTCAAGGGCCTTTCTTCATGCCTATCAGTTGCCTAAACTGCTACCACAGGAACTTACCAAATATGGCCGAGCCTCTTCATCTAAATTAAGATTTCCACCAAATTCAGCACTTTTCCTCCCAAAGTCATCTCCTTACTCAAACAATTGCAGGCGCTCATCACAGGAGATCCCCAGCTGTGGGCTCAGCATCGTACACCGAGTTGCGAATACACAGAAGTGTTCCTGAGTGTATTCTGTGTGTGCAAAAGTGCATGCGTCTCTTCATGGACCTGGTTCTGAGTGAATCTACGTCGAGAACGAAAGGCTAATTCCAGAAAACGCATGGCCTTTGCAAATAAGACATGGTCTTCAACCAGCAAGTGGGTGGCTAGCCAATAAGTAGATATTAATAACAGGTGGTGATAAATGATTGCTTCCAACCACTTTGTTAAGGAGATCAGAGAAGGGAGAAGGCTCAGGAGAGAGTGCAGCACGGCGCTTTTGTAAGTTGGATGGAAATGGGAAATGGGAACGCTAGCTCGTGATAACCTTATGCGGTAGAATTTATTGTGCCCATTGAGTAAGGCAGGAAACTGAGGGTTAAGGAGGTGAAGTAACTTGACAAAGGTCACGAGTCAGAGCAGGGTCCAGCTCCAGACTGTTTACGCTAAATTACCCTTCCTCAATCCCCTTTTAAAGAAATACCTTAAATAAAAATTTATTTTTACTTTATCTTACGCTTTTATTTATTTGTATTCAGCCCATTTTCACTTAGAAAACTGGAAAATAAAGGTACAAGAAAAGTAAATAACAGTAATTTCATTATTCAGTAATAGCCTCATCAATACAATCTTGTCCCAGAAATGTTGTAAATACACACACACACACACACAATATTGTTACATATATTTTCCTAAGATATATATGACAAAAAATGGGATCATGTTATACTTTTTAGTATTTTTGTTTCCATTTAAATAAATGTGCATATGAACATTAGTTTTAACTACATAATAGTATTATACTCTATTATATAAATGGACAATAAACTTTCATCAACTCATTCATTGATGAACAGTTAGGGTGTTTCTATGTGTTTTTTGATGTGGTAAATAACAATAAACACCCTCATACTAATATCAGTGTCCTCATTAATATCTCTAGGATAAACTTCAACTCACAATTATTTAAAAATTTACGACTTTCACTGCCCAACTGCCTTACAGAAAGTTTGTACCAGTTTATACTCCCACTAGCAGGAGTGTTTGAGAGGGCCCATTTTCCTATATTTTTGCCTTTGCATAGTCAATGTTTTCATTTTTGCCAATTACATAGGTGGTGTATTTATTTATTTAGGAGACAGAGTCTCACTCTGTTGCCCAGGCTGGAGTGCAGTGGTGCAATCTCGGCTCACTGCAGCCTCCCCTCCTGGGTTCAAGTGATTCTCCTACCTCAGCCTCCTGAGTAGCTGGGATTACTGGCACCCACCATCATGCCTGGCTAATTTTTTGTATTTTTAGTAGAGACGGGGTTTCACCATGTTGCCGAGGCTGGTCTCGAACTTCTGAGCTCAGACAATCCACCTGCCTCGGCCTCCCAAAGTGCTAGGATTACAGGCATGAGCCACCGTGCCCAGCCTATTTATTAAAATTTACATTCTTGACTGGCTGTGGTGATTCACACCTGTAATCCCAGCACTTTGGGAAGCCAAGATGGGAGAATTTGTTGAAGCCAGGAGTTTGAGGCCCAGCCTGGGCAACATAGTGAGACTCTGTCTATAAAAAGAAAAAAAAATTACATTCTTTAAGTTCTGGTAAACTTTTGAAATGCACACTAGCCACTTAAAGTTCTTTTGTCAATTGTCCTTCAAATCCTCAGTTCTTTTTTCTAATTGGGAGACTCTTACTGATTTATAAGGGTCCTTTACATTTTAAAGCTAATTAACCCTTTGTCATCTATTTTGTAAATAATATTTCCCAAGGGTTTTTTTTTTTTCGGTTGGTTTTTTGTTTTTGGGAATTTGGGGACATACAGAAGGTTTTAATCTACATGTAGTCAATTCCAGCTCAGTGTGAATTAGAGTAAAAGAACCAGCCAAGAAGTCAAAAAGCCAAGACTGTCCAGGCTCCACCCTGCGGCAGATGGTATTTTCCAAAATGGCCTCAACACACTCTCCCGTCCCACTTACTCTTACAATGGTGTGTCGATGTGATGTTAACACTCCTGTCATCAAGAACTAGGGCCTATGTCCCCTCTCCTTGAATCTGGATGGGCCTAGGACTGTAGCAGAGGGGATGACATGTGGGTTTGAGGCTGAATCTTACAAGGGGAAGCAGCTTCTCCCCAGTCTTTGTGGGATTCTCTGTCTCCAGTTCTGTAACAGGAGGAAGCTCAGGCCGCATGAAGAGGCCATGTGCCTGGGGTGGCAGCTCCAACTGTAGTCTCAGCCTACCGCAGACATCAATCACTAGACATGCAGACAAAGAGACCTTCCTTTGTGACTCCAGCCCAAGCCACTGTCTGACAGCAATCTTGCAAATCTCACAAGAATGGTCCAGGAGACCCCAGTC